GATGAGAGGAGGCCCTTCTGGTATTGGCGGTGGTCGTGGAAGCGGAGCACGTGGTCTTAAATCGGCAAGATACGACGACGGTAGAGCACTCCGTTGGTGAAACGAGCGAGCGCGCGAGCTCGATGTGGGGAGCGAGGATCGCGAGGCTTGCTGTACACGCACGGATGCGCGCATCGTGGTTTTTCAATCGGGTTTCGGCGTATCCTTTAATTCGTCGCTCGAGGATAACACCCCTCTTCCTTCCTCTCTCGACCTCCGCTTCGTCCAGCCCGTGTTCTCCACCCTTTCCTACGTGTGCACGTACGTATGTACATACGTGCACGCACACATCCCACAGCCACGTTTCTGCATTTGCATTCCCGACGCAAGAGGTGCGCGCACGCCGCCCAAGACAGGAGGCATCGAATGTTTAATTCAAGATACGTGAGAGTGTCGAGCTCCGTGCGAGAGAGACAGAGATAGAGAGAAAGAGAGAGAAAGAGAGAGAGAGAGCACGGAAGAACAAGACCCGATGAGCACCGACAAAGAGAGAAACTCTGCGGCAACCGAGGGGCAAGGGGCGCTGAGATACAGAAGTTGCGTGCGTATAAGCAGAGTCCTAGAGAGTGCGAGAGATCTCGAATGGGAGAAGAGAGAGAAGCGAAAGCGTAGGGTAGCAATTGATGGGACAGGGTGGCGCGTTTGTTGAGCTAATTACTGTAAGGCGAGGCGCTTACGCGCGCCGCTACATACAAACGGCATTAAAGGTGGTGGCCATCAATCCCCGTGGGTCCCCTTTTCCAGTCCTGGCAACTCGCCTCCTCCCTATCCCCCGTCGTCTTCCCTAACGCGGTGTATCTCTCTGTCTCCGGCCGCGCAGCGTCCTTCTCACAGGCCACGCGGCCCTTCCACGCGATACGGGATTCACGGTATTAATTGGCGCCCGATCCTCTCGCCGGCTCTGGCCCCGATCGTTTCGAAATTTCACGGCTAAAGGAGAGGAATCGACTGGCCGGTTGTCAGTCCAAAAAACGCGTACGTCAGACGAACGGTACGAATTTATTGCGAGGAACCGGCAAGAATGGAATAGACAGAACGAATCAAAAAACGTGTCTACATTTATTTTCGTCAAGAAAAAAAAAAAAAAAAAAGAAAGAACGATGTACACGTGTAAAATTCTATAGTTATTCCAACTTTGAAACAAAGAAATCTAAATCTTGATTTAGCAACAAACGCGCGCCAGAAGCATATAGAGAAACAGAAATACGCTTAAAAATCATCCACTTTTAACATTCGAGGATTCTCTGAACTGAAGGATATACCGTCAAGTATTGTCTTCAGGAACAAGCCACACGGATGCTCGTTCCATCAAATTCATGCTCGTTGACACTAGCAGAAATTGGAATTGGCGAGCGAACAAGTTGAAAGTCACTTGGAACTCGAAGAACTTTAAAACGCGCGATCGCGTTTGGGAGAATGAGAAGAGAAGAGAAGAGAAGAGAAGAGCGGGAAAGTGGTTGGCAGGTTTTGCGCGCGCGGGTGTCGAAACGTTCGGCCTAAGGGACAAGCACCGAAGAAGAAGAGTATACGCCGGCCACGGCGAGCCTCTCGGTGCGACGGTGTGACACGACATAAATAATCGCAGCCGATAATTAAGATGGCGTTTCGGCGCTTGTGCGTGTACCGGCCGACACCCGCTGTCTCCTCGCGACGTGGCATCGAGCTCTCACGCGTGTAGACACGCGAGCCCGTGTCCCAGCCATCGAGGGAAAATATATCGTCCGCCCTCGGCCCATTCCGCTTTCGAGTCTCCACACTTGCCGTTCGTTCGTTGTTCCGCGGGATAGAATGCCAGCGAGTCCTCGCGAACTTTGCGACACCGAATCGTCGTAAAGGGTGAGGGTCCTCTCTCTCTTTCTCTCTTTCGGTTTCTTCTTTCACGAATGAAAAAAAGAAAGAAAGAAAGAAAGAAAGGAAGTAGAAGAAGAGAGAGGGGAGGCCGAAACCGACGACCGTATACGAGAGAAAGATAGAGAGAGAGAGAGCTCTGCTGTCACGGTAGAAAGTATTGCGTGGATTCATCTGGATAAACCTTGGTACGATCAATCACCTGGCGATTAACCGAACTGCCTACGAAATTGAACTCGAACAGCGTAATTTATAGCGCTTTCTTCGGGATAAGAGATAAGACGTCCACGCTGGTGACACGACCGCTCTACACCGACAAAATCTCCTTTTTAGGGAAGGGCTTTCCTATGAGCGTCAGCCGCACGCACGTCAGACGCCCTCGCCTCGTCTGATACAACAGAGAGACGCTTCCTTGTACGGTATTTTCAACTGTCGCGTTCGTACAGGAGGGGAAGGGGAGAGACTCCGAGGAAAAGTTTATTCTGCTTTATTATTAAAATTCCGTCCCGGGGAAATTTTCGCACGAACGAGATTCTCACTTAAAAAATGCCACAACTTGCGTCTACTTTGAAAATTTCTTCGCTGGAAAATCCGTCAGTCTACTTGCAACAATCGTCGCATCGATCGATCGCCGCAGAATCGTGGTCGATCGTCGTCCGTATCTGTGAAATGGCAAACAGCGCGTTAAATCGTTGAACGTTATTAACTGTCGGGATAAATGACGCGGTGAAGCGGCATCGCGAGGGGAGGATCCCTGGCTGCCAGTGACATAAGTTGCCGAGTGTAATTAGGGGAATAAAGTCCGCGGAATTTCGCGAGCCACGGCTGCTGCCCGGCTACGACGATCGTAAAGAGGACGAGTGTTCTGGCGTAACCCGAGGCTCGCAGACTCGTTGCGAGAAGAAGGGGCTGCTGCTGCTGCTGTGTTTGCTCGCCTGCTCGCCTGCCTGCCTGGTTGCTTGCTTCCTTGCTTGCTTACTTGCTGCTTGCTTGCTCGCCGCTGCAGAAACGACGAGGACGCGTTGGGGAATGAAAGGTGGGGGGCGTCTCGGTGCCGACGTCGTCGTGCCAACCCCACGGGGCGCCAGGCTCGTTATATCTTCATTAAGCGGTGTACCTAACCATCCTGTCGCGACTTCTTAGCACTTTGCAGTTCACACTAATTTCGCGTTACTTTTTCTTTCGGTCTGTGTGTATCGGTTTCCTTGTTCACCCCGTGATAAACTCGCGATAAAGATGCTCGAAGGACAGGCACGCACAGCCCTCTGCGGATTCCTTTTTCGTTCCTTTTCGTTCTACGACTCTTTGTCGACTCCGCGTGTAGGTCGTTTCTTGGACAAAGTTTACTGGTCTGTTAGATCTAGTCGATTTCGCAGGATTAGCTTTGGTTGCCCGATCTGATTAATTCGGCGAGCAATTTGGACACTATTTTTCTGCCGGATCAACACGACGTGCAATTTCAATTTCACAGAGAATGTTGGACGATTAATCATGATCCGTAAATTAGCGAAATTAAGCAGAAATTTATCAATCGTTAGAAAATCAAAATCGAAACAAGAATAGAGTATACTATAATCGTACTATATTTGTAACTCTCGAACGATTAACCCTTTGACATGGCGGACGTCACTCGTTTCTTAAACTAAAATCGAGAGTGACGTTCGCTGGTCGACACGTATATAAAGATATAAGAAAATATTCTTCTTGATATGACTCTTTTCAACGCTTGTGTACCAAGTTACCTATTTCATTTGACTCGTACGTCAGGAGGTCAATCAAGCGCTAAGAAGTCCGGGGAAACAGATTAACTTTTCAAGTGACAGCGATCCAAAATCAAGTCACCGCGATCAGGCTGTGGTTCCACCAGCTTCCGATACTCGAACGGCAAGCTTCACGCGGGAGCCCCGAGGGGTTGGAGAGGCGCTGGCACGAGTCTCGCCGAAGATTTAAGCGCGATCCTTTGTCCGAAGAGTAACGCCCGCGAGTTTCGCCGGGCCGGTGTGTGTCGTATCCAGCCCCGGTCTGGATCCCCATCGTCCAAGGAAATTCCAACTCCCCGAATCGCCGTAAGATCGGGACACGTCGTTATGGGTCCGCGCGCGCTCTTTCCTCTTTCTCCTTGTCCAACACCGTGGTGCCCCTCCCTCACGTGGTTTCTGTTTCTCAAGCAAGGGACAGAGCAGAGCAAAGTAGCAGCAGCAGCAACAGCAGCAACAGCAGCAGCAGGATCGGCATCGGCATCAGCATCGGCATCAGCATCGGCATCGGCATCGGTATCGGGGCGGAGGACCCCGGTCCTCCTCGGCCGGAGAAGGAGGACGCGGTCGTAAATATTCGGGCGCCAAATAATGCCGGTTCCGAGCGAGAGCAAGCGACCACGACTGCTGCTCGACCCGTAATGAAGGACATCCTCGTTAATTAGTCAATAAATTATCCTTCGCGCTCACGACGCCCGTGCTCGCTCTTTCTCTCTGTTTCTCTCTCTCTCTCTCTCTCTCTCTTTGTCTGTCTCTCTGCTCGCCCCGCGTCTTTTCAGGCGCTTGCTCTCGTCCTTTTTGCCCGGGAGAACTCAAGGGCCGCATACTTTACGACACCTATCTCGCGCGACAGCACGATGCATTTCTCACAATCAGGACCCTCGAAGACGGAAACGCGTCTTGTAAGACGATCCACGAGGTGGTCCGTCGCTGGCTTTCAGCCACGATGAATTTTTCAACGACCGTTTCCTCCCCGTTTCGTCTCCCCCCCTCCCCCCCTCCCTCTATCACCCTCTGTAGATGCTTTTATCCCGTTCTTTTTACCACTCCTTCTCTCTCTCTCTCTCTCTCTCGATCGTTGTTGTCCGCGTTTCTGATATCGTGTAAACTCAAGCGGAGCAACAGAGACGATTAGTCGCGAGGAATTAGCGCGGGACAAATTGTCCTTCGCGAATTTGGTTGTCCGCTTATTATCATTTACAACGAGCGACGACATCGAGTGCGAGACCACGCGAATCCACTCTATCTCGCGTCGTCTCTTTTCGTTTCTCGATGTCGCGTGAAGTGAAAGAAACGAAAGAAGAGAAAGATACGATTAGCTTGTACAAATTATTCTTCATAATCTTACTATCTTCGTAGTAAATCTGATTTGGTTGTCCGAGTACGAGTATATCTTCTTTCTTGAACTATCTTTTACCTCTTTCTCATTGCTGTTTCTGAACGTAAAGCGTAAAGTAAAGAGGAGGAGGCGAAACGAATTAGTCGCGAGGCACTGGCGTCGACAAATTGTTCTTATTTTTATTTGTACTGCGACATCGAGTACGAAACCACGTGAATCTATTCTCTCCTGCATCGCTCTTTTACTCTTTGCTGTCGTTTACGGAGAATTAACGCACACAAACCGTTCTTTGTAAGTTCGTCCATTCAGATTTACAACGACGACTAGACTTTATAGCAGACTTTCATAATATAATATTTTGAAATTTTTATCAAGAAATAGAAATTTGTTTTTATATTATTCTAACATTATATTAGATATCTGCGAGAAATTCCTGACTTGAGACTTCAATTTAAGGCTCGAAAATGTTAGACACAGTGAAACACCCAGTGAATATTTTTTTTATAAAACTTGAGAACTTTAGTCCAACGAAGGAACAGTACGAAAGCCCAGGAAAGTTATCTTTGATAATAGATAATCTATTTTTCGCATGAGAAATGTGAACAATGGATCGCCAAAATCCTTGTAAAACATCAAAACGTTTTACATAATATGTAAATACATAGATACAATATCTGATGGGACGATTGACATCATCTTCGAAGATAATTAATAAGAGGCTGAAGCTCATTTCATCCGCAAATCTTTCATTTACATACCTTTGCGTATCTTTTATACCTTCCAATGGAAAAGCAGAGAAAGAGTTCCATAATGACGAGTCGCGTAGAACGCGCGTTCGTGTACTGTACACGCACGTGTACAAGTGAGACGAGAAATTCGAGGAATCAGCAGGTGGACTCGAACGATTCTCGTAATATCACGACCGGCCAGGGGCATAAAGATTCGCTTCAAGTATACGCGTTCCAAGTGTACGTACCGTGCCACGTGACCGTACATCACTTTAACTATTTCCTGGCGTGGTACAGGCCTACCGGTTCGCACGATCACGAACAACGAGAGAGGCAACACCGAGAAGATGCCACCGAGCGTACCGAGCATCCGTGCACTATGTCCGCGGTCAGCTGCACCGGTGATAACTCAACGATACTCTGACCGAGCGATCGTCGATCGGGAGCGGGAGGACGTTGCGTCGTTTCTTTCGGCCAGGACGTCGTTGCGGGTCACCTGTCCACCACTTTAAGACGTACACGCTTCGTAAATATCGGTCGTCCGACCAACCGGTGGACGTGCCTCGTCGAAAATTACGAGACAGCTTGGATCGCGACCGGTTAATTCGACTCGTCGACGAAAGATGGGTCTTGGTGAGTCTTGAAAATCCTGAACACGTAGTCGTTCACGTGGCCGGACGTCGGGAAAACATCGCTGTGAACTTCCAGCAGGTGAGCGCGCAGCTCTTTCGCGAAGTTCGTTTGAAACGGCTCCGGATTGTCCCCTTGGCACACGTCGCATTCGTAGATCGTTTTTCCTGGATGCAGGCTCGTCGATAACACGTGTTTCCTCAGGTTTTCCTGCAACGAGATGGACGGAGAATGGATTTTGTTTCATCGAACGATTCCGAGGAGAAAAATAGTTAATAATGTGTAAATACAACGTGTCTACTTGATCGTGTCTCAACACTTTCTAGCTATAAACTAAAATAATATACGTTTGTGTATAAAAAATATTATATATATATTATATTATTTAATTTAATTTATTATATACATATAAATTACAGATGTATAATTTAATTTCAGTCCCAAAATATCAAAAAATGACTCCACCGACTTGTTAATATACCCAATCTTGACTGTACAAATATTTTTACGATCTCTGCTCGTGTTAAGCGTCTCGCAATTTCCATATACATTTTCAAACCTGTTTCAGACTTGACTAATATATCAATGATAATCGGATCTCGCTGCAGTGTTAATCAAATTTCGATATTCATAAATGTTACGCGCGTAATATATTCGTAAAAGGTATTCCTGCAAGAGTTTCAACACTTTCGCCAGCAACGCACCCCTCATTATCGAGAAATAAATAAATCTTTCTCGAGTTGTAAATTTTCCTTTTCCTTTCATGACGGAGCCCGGCCCAGTACGTATCGCGTAGAAGCGTGAGATCAAACGCGACAGCTCTCGTCAGAAAGTAGTCTGTCACACATGCTCTGAAAAAGTCGGAATCAAAGTCCGCGAAGTCGGATAGTTCCGAGGAGCCTCGGCGTTTGCATTCGTATCGGTGCTGGACGAAGGTGAATACCTGCGACCAGAATCGGTCTGCCGCAAACCGGACGCGTTCATTGGCTATGCCACGGAGCATTTAAAGGCGCTTTACCCTCTCGGGCTAAGTAGCTGGCCGTAGTCGTAAACATCTTCCTACCAGGCGGGCTTATACGAGCCGTTGATGGCAACGGGCAGCATCAAATTTAATTTCCCATAAGTAAATCTTTCTGCACGGCCAGCGCTCCGTGACCGTCTCGGATAAAGACCCGTTCACACCGTCATGGGCGGTCGTCCACCTTTCTCGCGAAACTCCTCTCCTATCCGAGCAACTCTCAACTCTCGCGGAAAAGTGTGCGCCGTCACGCGAATACCAGCTACACGCTTTTCATTAATCCGATCGATTCCGATTTCTTTTTGCGTAAGTAATTTTCTGTTGCAGACACACACGCCACGTAGCTAGAGCATCGCATTACGGACCGTAGGGTATTCCGTTTTACGAGATATGCTTCGTTGTAGCGATCTCAAATCGCCGCCGACTTTATCCTTCCCTCTCTTCTTTATTTCTTTCGGGATTCCAGCTGGTAATATTAATTTGCTCGCGGGCTACTGTAACTCGTAACTCGTGGATACGTGAAAATGTTTGTATGTAGTGTACACTCTCGTACAAGAATTTAGAGCACGTGGAGATATTATTATTATTCCTATATTTTTTTTTTCAAATATTAATTATACTTGAAGATCGAGATTATAATTAGGTTCGTGCCATTACGAGCAGGCCCTGTGATTTGGTTGAAATTTCAAACGTAGATTCGTTTTAAATAAAAATCGTATTTGAATTCAAAATACTTTTGAATCGTAATTTCGAATCGTATCTTTTATTTTGTAATTTACCGTGAAGGGGTTTTCGCATATAGTGTTACTGTAATTGTAGAGCACAAAGTTTTTGCTGATTTTGAAACAAATCGATTCAAAATATGTATCTGCATCTTATGTAATAAGTAAAAATGAAGGATATATCATTAATTGAATAACTCTTTCACCGCTGTAACCTTTTAAAGATATATCTCTAATATTTTAATAAACTAGAATAGACTTTTAATAAATTAGAATGAGACAGAAGATAATTTAACAAACTCTAAATTATTCATATTTCTTTCGTACTGAAATTAATAGAAAGTGGAAAACATATTAATTATAAATAGAAGCCAATATAAATCCGCCTGTGGATCTAGTTTTCAGTAGTTAGTCAATGACATTATTCTTGTTTCTTAAAAAAATGTACAAAAGGTTACGATATTTCACCCGAGAAGTAAAGTTTTGACCAAGGGTGCAATGAAAATTATCGAATTATCAGGGTAGGAAAAAAAAGATTATCGATATATACACTCTTTTGCTCGGCGGACTGATCGAGGAGGATTGTAAAATTACAAGTGCAAACTGACTAGGATCTCTAACTTAGATCGAGAGTTTATCGACGAGGTATTACCGAATGGACGTGTCTTTCCACTTTCTTTACTCGTTAACTAATAAATTCCGGCGAACATTTATCCCGACTTTGCGGTGAAACACTCCGGTCACCTTCAAGTAAATTTTCGATCGATTCTATCGCATTGGATCCTATCCGCTCAGCGAACGACCGATTGGCGGGAATTATTAAATCTTTATTATTTCGACTCGCGTGTTAGTTACACGGGGCGGGGATCGCAACTGGAACTAGCCGGCAAGAAAATCGAAAATAGAGGGTAAAAAAAACGACGACGTTGGGTGGAGATGCGTGGAAACGCAAAGCAACGTCTGCCATTGAAAATTATAATACCACTAGCGCTATCATTTAGAAAATTATAATGTTAGCTCTCCGTTATATAGTGTTATTAGCAGAGCAAAGTTTAAGTTTCTTCAATTGCTGCGCGTTTGTAAGGAATTTATATCTTTTGCCTGCTCGAGCATTCAGTTATAATATTTAATTAACTGTTAAACATAAAATACGTTGTCCATTTATTGATGTGATTTCTAAATGTATTCTTAAAAAAATATTATAATTATATTCATTTTGAATGTGTCATCTATATTGTTCTTTTTACAAACTCACTGATCACAAATTAAAAAGTACCAATCACTGTGCAACGATGATGTAACAATCTACGATTTTTCCGCAAATTTCTCGGAGAAAATATCTATCTCCTTAGCTGAACTATGAGCATCTTCTAATTTATTCTGTTACACGTTGATCACTTAAAAGAAAAAAAGAAATTAAAGATGCGAGAATGCACGTAACAGGTAAAAATATTCGTTGTTTCGGTTGTTTGGTTTGTAAAAATATATAAAAATATAATTTCGAACGAGCGGACCTAATTCAGATGGCCGGTGGCTGCGCACCTGTCATAAATTGGATGGATGGAGGAAGGAAGAAAGGTGGCGCGTGTAATCTCGCGGATGCAAGACAAGCCTGCTACGAATTTCGTCGTTAATCTATTATATTAAAGACCAATGTTACGTTAACGCAACATATCATTTATGTTTCTCTTTGGATTACTGATTATTTAAATATATAACGAGTTTAGGTAAATTTGGATTACTGATTATTTAAATATATAATTAGTTTAGGTAATGTGCCGTTTCTTTTCTTTTGTATTTCACGATAAAGGAACAACTTATCCACATTTTGCTCAATTATTTATATTCTTTTAATGATATTACGTTTACGTGACACAGTGCAGGTACATTATAGTCCTTAATGGGTTAAACTGTCTCTCTTGTTATCTTCATAACCAACTCGTTTCTTAGTTCGAAACTTCTACGATCGTAGAATTAAAATATACATCTGGCATTTTACGGCTTCTGTCTTTTACATCTTACTAGCTAAGAACGTAATCTTGAACCTCCCACTTTTCAGATAATCCCTGATCTCGTCAGATAATATCCCTCTTAAACATCCCGGATTAATTCATAGATCTTTTTGCGATCGGACGCACGTTTTATCTCGTAATGGATAATTTTTAATTCTCCGTGCTTCACCTTACGCGAATATTATTCCACGGTACGGTAAGTGAACGCTGCATCAATGCCCGTTTTCATTCCGATCCCAGGCACCGCGGTGATGGTGGTACGCGAAAGACGAATTTAATCGTTCGCCCGCGATCGTAATCGGCCAGTATCAACTCCGCGATCGCGCCGCGGCCATCCCCCTTCGATATCAAAAACGATTAAAACGAACGGCCACAGAAGCTGCCACAAGTCTTTCGCACGGTTACACGGTACGCTCAGCCGGCTGAGAAGTGCCTACCGCTGTATCATTACCGATGCAAGACGTACACCGTTCGCAATTCACCGTGCCGCGAGATTACCTTGGGCTCAAGTTATCCCGCCGGCTGAGAGCCACTGGAATGAGTTTATGTCGCTATCAAAGAGACACGGAGCCCTCGTATGCGAGTCGCATCCTAACTAAAGCTTCAAAGGGCATTAGCATACCGGCCGCTCGGTATGACTGGGCCGTGCGTGTGTGGGCATCCAGTGAGCACAATTAACTCGTTATCTTATCGCGCCTCGGTGGCGGCAGAGGCGGCGGCATGGTCCAAACGTTAAGGTGTACTTTGCTTAATTTACGCCGCGGAGTCACCGCCGCTACAAAAATTGAACTGCGAGAATCAACCACCGCCGCTTCCTACCTACCCGGCTACAACGCCGGGCAATAGAGCTCGACTGCAACGAGCCCCGATCGTTTTCGGCTCGGTTCCCATTCGATTCGTCGTGTAATTCGCGTCGTTCGACTCGTGTACACCAAGGATCTCTGAATGTTAGGCCAGACTTATGTATTGTCAGTGGCTCACGGTGGCTGCGCGTGAAGACTCGCGATCGGTGTGAATGGAGGTTAAATGAAGTTCTATTTCCTGGAGCGAAGTTTACAACGCACTGTTTAGATATGTTCTGCAATTTTGTCAAACATTCGAACACTTACCATAGAAAAACGTCTATGTATATGTTACGAGTGTAAACGATCTTTTATATATAGCAGATCGTGAAAGTATGAAGAACGTTTATAGTATATGCGTGTATTATATTTGTTATATAAACGATCACTTATGTACAAGTATATTAGATGACGAAAATATTCGAGAATTTATTACAGAAGAATATTTATGTACGCATACATACAATTGATCTTTTATATCTGTATATAGTGGATCGTGAAAGTACTTGAAGAATTTTTTAACTATAACAATGGTGCTTTTTTCATTTTATTTTGAATGTTTTGAGACTAAACTTTTATATTTGAAGTTTCATTTATTTATTCTTCTCGCAGTGCAATGACATTTTTCTTTTTAGTGTCTTTGCGAGAACTATCAAAATGGACGAATCAGATGGTACGCGCAGTGGGCAGTGAGGAAGACATAGATGTAGAGAAGGTGATCAATGTAAGTCAATTCTCATTAAAAGCAATTTTTGTCACGCAAATGCTCTTTTGACAAAAACTAATTATTAAATCGTACAATAACTGTACCACAATTATGATTAGTACTTATTCTGGCCATTTTAAAAAAGATCATGTGTTAAATGTGTGTTGCATTCATTTTGGTCTCTCGCAGTTCGATTGACCCGAGTTGTTAACGCTAGAACTACCAACGACTAAAGCATAACATTTGCAGCAAAGAAATTAAAGTGTAAGTTAATAGTACAATAAAAGAACGCAAGCTTCTATTAATATATTTTGTTAAAAATCACCTCGAGTGGATCAAATATATAAAGTTCCCATGGAAAATGATAAATTGATCAATTTGGTAGTTCTAACTGTTAAACGTGTAGGAGTGTAGATTGGCAGCAGTTGCCTCCGACTTACCAAGTTGTTGCTCGCGTACGGACAATGACGACACTTGTAAGGCTTTGTGCCCGTGTGGAGACGCACGTGCCGCTGCAAATGAGACGCGAGTTTCGTTTTGAAAGCGCAGCCACTGTAGGGACATGCGCGGAGTTCCGATTTCCCCGTGTCCTCTGGCTCGTCGTGTCGTGCACGATGCCTGCAACAAAGAATTCGCGTTTCTCAATTAGATAAATCACCTCGTGCATCGATGTCAATCAAACTACAGACTGCTTAACCCAATAAAACGAAGAATTTGCGTTCCCTTTTACGATGTTTAATCTAGTTTCTGAACTAGAATTTGGTCTGTTGGTTTGTCTCTTTTTTCTTTTTTTATTATTAATAATTAGGTTGGGTTATTAGCGACCAAAAATTTTACACGTACATTCTTCGTGGAATTTTGTAAATTTTAAAACTTTTGATGACTTATGTTGCGAGATTGTACGGTATTGCCAAGAATTAGTGTAGTATGAAATACAAGTACGTCAAGTGCTCTTAAACGATGCATCAAACACTTGTAATAGTAATAAATTCTCAGATTTTTGATTCGGTGATTATGAACGGCAACTAATATTATGTTACGTAAACATATCAACGCTTGTTCGTCATTTTATAATTCTACTTATTGGAGTAAACCAACGCTCGAATCTCACATCCGATAAACCTTACTCCGCAATACTCGTGCAATGTTACTTCTACGAACGTAACTAAAGAGATCAAACTTAAATAGAGATATATGAAATATTCTATTAAATCTATTATAAATTTCGTCTATCAAGTACTCTAAAAAATGCTACATGTTGGATATTTCATGTACAGTCAATCGTGAATTACGTTACACTCGCTCTATCGATATCTGAAATTGTCACGTGTCTGAAAAATGCATCAACATTCTACGCTCTGGTCGCGTTATATACATATTAAAGAAAAGAGGCGATAAGGAAAAACGTGTAAGCAATTCTGAAAGACGCGGCACTAAATACAGGTTCATCGTCGCTGTATCGGGGCCTGGTGATTATGAACGATGCGATATGCGTGCACGATATTACGAGGGAGCCATTGGACATGGTTACGTGTATATCAGGTTCGAAATGCGTGACACGTTTAATTAAAATCCTCTGTGATTTACTCCACACCGCACAGAGCGTGGCCGAAAGAGATGGAGAAAGACTCGCGGTACGAGAGAGAGAGAGAGAGAGAGAAAGGGGGAGAAAGGGAGGGAGAAGGGTGACACTGCAGGACAACGATGAAAAAGAGAACGAAAGGAAAAGCATGGAAAGAGGAAGAAGACGAGCTGTGAAAAGAGAGAAAGAGAGAAAGAGGGGAAGGGGAAGAGAGAGAGAGAGAGTATAAGCTATAGAAATGAGGGTTTAGGGGAAGGTAGAGTACGGAGGAGAGGTGGGAGAGAAAGAGAGACTCGTCGTGACACTCTGTGGCTGCGTTGAGTTCGACTCACGTAGTAAGTACTCAATTCGCGATGAAATATCGCGCCGACCATCGCCATGCGGACGATCATAACGGGTTGCCCGCACTTGGCCGACTGCTGCACGCAACTTCCGCTTTCGCGGCTCTCTCTCCTTCCTTCTCCCGATTCCTCTTCCCCTCCTTCCCCCCTTTATCGCTCTTTCTCCCTTTTTCTTTTCATCTCGTTCCCCTTTTCATCTCTCTTTCTCTCTCTGTCTCTTTCTTTCCTCCCCTCTTTTCACCCTTATTTTTACCACCCTTTCTCTCTTTTTCTACATTCTTCTTTCTCTCGTTCTCCCTTTGTCACACTCTCTCTCCTTCTCTCTCTTTTCTCGCAGTTTTCGTTTTCATCCGCCTCTCGTTCGTCCGGCAAGAGACAAAACACACGCACGTGCACGAAAAAGAGAATTGAAAATGAACAACGAATGAAACGAGATGAAATTTATTAGAGGTCTTGCACGATACAATGTCCTTAATAAGACTTAATTTAAATCGAATCGCGCGCGCTTCGCGTGCGTAATCTACGAGATACACGCATCGCATATTTTCCGGTATTAGTGTCCAACCACCTGTCTGCTCCGACAACTAAGAATCAATCGATTAAGCCGATTAAAACGCGCCTGTACGTGGAATACGCGATGGATTTTTTTTTTTTTTTTCTTTCCTTTTTTCTTTTCTACCAGCGGATAGCAGTTTAACTTGGGTTACGCTCGATCGAATTTTCTTTGCTGTTTGTTGGCGCGATTAAAATTCCCTCTCTTTGTTTGTGTGCAATGGATCACGAAAGTATCGAAACGTTTTGCCGTAGGAAAATTTTTACGTACGATCAGACATTGCAGCGAGATCACTGTTGCGATTATATTGATAAAATTTGAAATCGTTCTGGAAATACGTATAAAACTTACAGTTTGTAAGACGATCGTATATTCATTTTGAGCATATGAATCATTCAGAAGTTCAATTCAAAGAACGATGATAGCGTCGCGAACACTGTTTCTAAAACAAATCTTCGAAATCACTATCAATTACGTGTGTCCTGCGACGAATGAATTTATGAAAATAAATGATTTGTTTCTTCAAGGATATCAATCGATCTGTTCTTGAGAATTGGATATTGAATTATTACGTACATAACGAGAAAAAGAATTTAATTCATATATTCGACGTATTCACAAATTTCCTCCGTTTGTTCAAATACTTTAGCGATTATAATTATGTCAATACGAGAACCAAATTTTAATGTAACTTTGCGATATGTCTCGTAATAATAAAATCAATATCCCACGCATAGGGTACGAGTGAATAGGGAAAAGAAACGAAGATATGTCACGAGAAGTGTTCACACTTGTAAAGTAACGTATCGATAATGTTGATCGATAATGTAATCGAGATTCCTGGACCGTGGTGATCAAAGGATCACGTGCGTGTACCAACTGGTGCTTCTTCGAGCAGAAGGTACTGGTACGCCTGTGGCAATTAATTTCCCACTTCCGCAAAGACATCGATCAGGCGTCGTAGATCTACGAGATGAATAGGACGTAGGTTTGCATCGTTCGCAGCGGGGATCTTGATTAAAATTAATGTCGAACCTAACGTCGAATATTAACGAACGGGTCTCTCTCTGTTTCGTTTGTTTCCTCGATGTCGTTGTTGTTAACTCTCTCTCTCTCTCTCTCTCTCTCTCTCTACGTTCGAGAATAATTGCGAATAACGAACAAAATAATATTTAAAAAGAAAGAAAAAGACGCGCGTTGCGTAGGCTCGCGTGAAAGTTTACAAATGGAAATTTGAAACCAAAGAGAGAGAGAGAGAGAGAGATTAATACGTTGTCAAACGTATTCGTGAAATTACACGGGTGATTAATATGCAGCGGCTGAGGTGGAGAATTTTGAATAATAAAGACGTGACGGGAACATTTGTGATACCTAACGGGGACAACTGTTCAACTCGGAACGGTGAGACTCCGTAGATTTCGCTGCGAGATAGCGTAAAAATTATTGGATTAGGACTCGCAGGACTCCAATGCAACGAGACAAACAAATTAATTGCAGATTGTCACAACGTCACAATTTTTTGCAATTTTGTCGTTACAAACAGAACAGTCGAATTGAGAGAGTTGAGATCGAACTATGCGAAACAAGTAACCTCTGTTCTGCAAATAATTTTTAATCACTCTCCACAGTAGGTAATATTAATAAACTGATAGATATGTAAATCACGTCAACTGTAGTTCCACGTTAAATGATATCTCGTTGAGATTTGAACGAGAACTGGGGGAACCGAGACGAGGATTTTCGTTCAGTTTTGACTACGTATGAGCAAATTTTGCACGTACCGGCGTAGCTGGGTCTTCGTCTTCGCCGCGTAGGAGCAATCCGAACACTTGTACTGCCTATTAGACGGCGTGCTGTCGTGTACCAGGCTTCTGTGCGATCTCAATTCGGAGGCTGTCCGGAGCACCGTTGGACAGCCCGGAAGTCCGCACTTGTACTTCTTGCCAGCGTGTCGCAACATGTGCTGCCGCAGCGAATGCCTGGGGAGGGGAGAGAAAAAAAGAAAACAAATAAACGTTCAGTGAACAATCATTCGTACCTGCTTACGCGTCACTGTTTACGTAACGTCGAAACAAATTGTAAAAACCAACACTCGAGAGAATTCAGTCGTAGTAATATTCTCCTCTTTCCTCATGTCCCAACAACAATACACACGTGTAATACAACACTGTGTCGAATCATTATGAAAGCAAGTTATTTCGTCTCTAGTGCTCAAACCTTTAAACTTTATGTAATTCTGGAATTTTGTTAGATAATATTGAATTTTTAATAATGTCTCTGTTGAATTTTGATTAAACTGGCGGATCTGATAACGACAAGCTTTATCTTCTTGTAATCTGATACTTTTGAAAGTATCGAACAGTATTAATATTCCGGGCGTGTGTTGTTAATTTTTAAGAATTAAGAATTCTTTAGAATGGTAAACCAGTACTGTGTATGTGTGAGCACGTGTTCATTTACACTCTGACACTTCTCTTCCGAATGACGTATTCCTCCGTCGAATAATCATTTTATCCTCTATCTGCTACTCATCAAAAGATCTCAACTCTTTCTGACTCATCATCAGGCCTAAGCATGCTTCCGCTCCATAAATCTCTCAGTTCCAAAATCTATATTGTACATTAACACTCAGAATTCCAGGATTGTAAGAGATTTTCATTGAATAAATTGCACTGACTATGTCAACACGTGTTCATTTTATTCTGATACGGCACCGTAGTTTCTTCTCTCTGTGGAATAACGATTTTACTCATTCATGGACCTCGATTCTTCCTCACTTAAACACGTCCACGTTCTACAAGTTTCTCAGTTTCAAAATCTATCGTATACTATGAGCATATTAACACAATTTTATTCGTCGAAGATCAACCCATATCCCTGCTCCATAATTTTCTCAGTTCTCAAAATCAATTAACCTGGAATTAATGTAAGATCGATTCAGAGCATCTAACTTGAGATGTTCATTCGATCGCTCGTATTGCCAAGCCAGTGACGAAACTGAACGTATCGCCAGGGTGCTCGTATGATTTTTTTTCAAATGCCAATGACGATCGGCCAGGAGCGTCGACGACGATCGCGAAGCATAATGATATCGCGACTTAAAGGGACACGTTTTTCGTGAAATCCAACGCGTAATAAGACAGCACAATGGCCCGGACGAATGCACGGTACGCGTGTGACCACATCGGCTGTTCGCACGCCGTACGATCCGATCGCAGCTGTTGCATCCTATATCAACCTGCCGGCGAGAAAGCGCGCACAAGAGCCCGCACTTTAAATAGTTTCTGTCAAGAGGTGACGATCTATACGGTTACTGAACTTGCCCTGAACCGACTCCACCGTTCGTACTCTACTTTCTACCCTTGTTTCCTTTTCTTTTCTTTTTTTTTCCCCCTATACGACGCGTTACTCTCTAGCGAGTGTCAGGGTGAAAAGATAGTAAGTAGCTTCGGGAAATCGTAAGTTGAGTAACAGATAAAGCGTGAAGTTTTCATTTTTTTTTTTTTTTAAATCAAATAGCAGTCGACCAACATTAGTTGGTATATAAATATATAACTTATGCATGTTGCTTTGCTATTATTTCCCGACATGAATAGGAATACAAATAATTGAATATCCATATACAAATTTAAATAATTTATTTAAATTTGTATATGGATATTAATAATTTATTTTCATTTATAATAAATAATTTATTTGAGTATATTATAAATTAATATTAATTAATGAACTTGATAAAGTATCTGATTTGAATTCGTATTATAGAAATAAAATTTTCTATTAATTTAAATTAATAAATATAATTAATTCTTTAATTAAATGTAAATAAATTAAATAATATATAAAATTAAAATTAATAATTCTATTCAACATATATATATATATATATATATTATTTATGATCAAATTTGATTCCTTTGTCTGTGTATAGTTTTACACGCGTATAGTATAATTTTTGATACGCGTATAGCCGTCACACAATGGAAAGTGCAAACGGGTACAAACATGAGTACATGCACTTCGTCGAGCCAATAAATAAAATTCGTTCACCTGTAAAATCTGGGAATACAACCTCGAACCAAATGACAGATCTTTAAACGCGACGTTTGAGAAGTCAGGAATTATTTCCACTTCCTTTAGAACCTTTCAACAGGGAGAAGAAAATCCGTCATGTAGCATCAGTTAAACCTAATCTGAGCCAGGCCGTTGCATTCCCTCTGGGGCGAGCCCTATCGTGCTTCCTTCGAACGTAAACGCGACGAGCCACGTTCGAGCCATCTGATTAAAAGGGAAAAGGGAGGAGGCGCAAATCGAACGGAGGGCAATGAAAACGACAGCGAATGCACGAGTAATACCGGCATTCCAGCGTATAAAACTAAGCGAAAGCTCGTCGATGTTATCGAAATCGGTAGCAAATTTCCGAACGTGGTAGCCACGATCTTCGCGTACGTATCTCTCCTGGCTCCCCTGTATCGAGATCTTTCGCTGAAGCCACCGTGTGGTACCAGCGGCGGGGAAACCTACCGCGGTAACAGAAACGAAGGACACGGATTTTTCGAGATGGCAGCTCGACGATACCGGCAGCGGCAGCAGCAGCAGCTCGTGGCTGTCCACGAGCAACAGCAGCAACAGTACCAACGCTGGCCAGAATCCGGAACGGTGGACGAAGGACAGCGGATCGAAGAAGAAAATCGACGAAAGAGAAAAAACGAAGAAGAAGAAGAAGAAGAAGAAGAAGAAGGTGGACGCGGAGGGCAGCAGCTTCTGCTCTGGAGCAAAGGAGCAGAGAGAAAGGAAGGGACAGAGAGAAACCGAAGAAACGGCTGAGAGCTGAAGAGGGCTACGAGATCTGGGCCGTCCTAGAGGGAGTCCCGGCCTACCCAATTGGCTACGCAAGTGTAACGGCAACTTTTACAATGTCAGGATATACACGCCCTCGCAACCAGCTTAGGACGTACCTTCTCTTACACCTGCACCCGGCATAGTCTTTGCGAGGTGCGCTTCGGCTCGCGGAGTGTCGTGGTGTGTCAACCGTGGGTGCGCTGGTGGTTGCAGGGGCCCCCGCGGGCACCGGGCCCCGGGCCGCTGCCCCGGGGCTTCTTGCTCGCCCGTTGTCTCACTCGCCAACCCCCTGTCCGTCCTCTTCGCGCGATTTTTTTCACCGAGCCCTCGACACTGCCGGTCAAGGACAAGTGGCATCGGGGCCGAAAGCCGACCCGCCTCCGAGCTCCGATCATCGGAACAAATTGGCCCGATCGTTCGAGAAACGAGTACGTCGATGTGGCGTTGCTATTGTGGATATGACGCCGGTAGATTGTAGATTGTTGGCGTTGAAGCGTACGTACATACGTGTTGGTCCTCGCTTCGTTTGGAAATGATTCTTTCTACGAGTCAATTTTCGTTCGGAACAACTACGGTCTCGCTTCTTTTTATTAATTTCAATTTCGTGATTGTAAAACAGATGTTTCTAGGGTAAAGTACAACTTGGTCTGATCGTAGTCTGTGATCGACAGAACACAGAACTGATGTATCAAGGAGCGTGTAACGATTTTCATCGTGATGTTGCGCACACAGTTTTCTTCCAAATTTCTTCGAGTTTCACAAGTGAGAATTTAGGGAAGAAAATTCTGGCAAAAAGGTACGAAGCGATTTTTGCGATCGCAGATTGTGATTATGAAACGAGTGAAACGAGGCGGTAATAGTTAGATAACAGTTAGGTAATTCTTGTTTATTCTTTAAAATGAATCAACTTTGAATCATTCGCCGGATCCCGATGAACATGTAAACTACTCTCGTATTTCTCGATATTTAATGCGATCTACACTATGGGAATCTGTGGTCCAATCGATTATTTTAGCTCGCTGACCTTTCTTTATGGACTCGAATTACAATATCTTATAAATTAAAATATTTATGCGCGCACCGCCGATTGCGTTTATTGACATTTAGTACATAATTGAATAGCTTCCGCTGCTTTTATTTTCTAGTTGTATCGTGAAATTATATCGGATTGTTGTGTGAAACGGCTGATTACAAAGCCACGTAGAAATCATTTAGAAAATGTCGTTAAATAATACTTATTTGTAGACTGCGGATTTTAATGCACTTGTGAGAAAATAAATCGCTGAAAAGAAGTCCATAGAATGAAACAAATTGTTAATTTCTAGTTCTCTAATGGAGTTCACAAAAATTTTAACTTGTGAAGGTAGTCTACTTATTAAACACGGTTACAATTGAAATAACGAAACGAAATATCAGCAATATTTCATTGGTTGTGTATGAAATTCGAGTGTATTCTTTATAAAACTTCAAGCTTGAATCTAATAACAAACATTATTCGTAATGTTAACATAGGTTTGTGAGAAACTGCATTCAGAAGAAAGACATGTCGCTGTCGTACAAATAATTTAAATTGAGAAATACCAACATCAAAAGTGAATTAAAAAAATTCTGCACAATATATAATAAGTAAAATTAACATAATAGATGTTTAACAACTTAAAAGTTCTTTAAACTATAACAATAATAATTACAATTTTTAGTAGTATTATAATAGTGACTCCAAGAATCTTGCAAATTAAAAATTGGGCCATTAAATAGATTAAAACTACATAATACATTATATGAATTATATGTTGCTGTACATAAATCTGCATGGTTAGTCGTGAAAGAATGCAGTTAAAAACTCCCACTAATAAATTTCGGAAAATTTCATGCTGGGGTTTATTATATGCAACCGCATTTTTTCACGGTCGCTAAATATAGCGATGAAGAGAGCAACCATGGTTATCGAGCAATGTTTGAAACGTAGAGGAAATCGGGACAAAAATGTAATTTCTTTATCTTTTTACAATTAAAAAAATAAAGTAGTATTTTAACAAACAACAATTTCACGTGTATTAGAAACAAAAATATCTGTAAGAAAAAAAAAATTTTATTGTTACTTGACTTGAGATTAAAAATTCATTTGTGAGGCATT